GAGATTTTCAAGAAGGAAACTCACCTCCTATCTCTAAGGGCCAAGGCAAATGACTCGATTTTATTTGATCAATGGATCCAAAATCTGTTATAATTCTCCTGTCCAGTTTCTTTTTTTTTTTGTTTCCTAAGCCTTGAGGCAAAACCTTTGTACCTTCTGTTTTCTCTTAATTTTTAATAAAATTCCTGTAGGGGCGAAAGCCCCTCAAGTTCTGTCAAAAAACGTGCATAATGGCGCTTAAAAAATGATATACTCACTGACTTACTACAAAAGCAGCACAGTTACTATCTTTCTTAACTAAATTATTCTTGTTAAGGAGGACCCTCTTTTAAAGTACTACTACATAAATTTCCTTTATCAGCCTGTTCGTTTGGTCGTAAACGATTATGGATTATAAGCCAGAACAGTATTTTTCTCTCACCCCAAACCAGCCAGAAGTAATAATCCACGATCGTTTCGGCCGAAACGAACAGGCTGGTACAGGAAATTTATTGACCGTTTTCGTAGACCGTTCTATGCTGGTGATTCCCGGCCGCCAGGGACGGACGTACATGCACGGTGCACAGTCGGCGGGTGGAACTAGAATTAACAGCTACGGCCGTCCTCGCGTTGCGTAATGTAGACGGCGACCGAGCTGTGCGTGCTATACTGTCGTGCGTCGTCCTTCAGTTTCGGGCGCGCGCTCGTGAATCGCGCCCCGTTGCCTCGTCGGGTGTCGATCTCGCCAAGCCGTCCTGCGCCGCGCACGGCAGCTGGTACTGGTAGTGGTAGAACAGAAACGAGTGCGTGCGTGGGCGCAGCGGCGGGCATCACACCGCCCGTGAAAGCGTGGCGCGCGTACGGGGACACGCTGGCTGTCGGCGTGGTCCGCGCCGGGGAAGCGGGCGAGGTGCCCGCGCGGCGTGCAGTCATCCGGTGATCCAGGAACGAAGTCGGCACTCTCGGCAAGCTAGGCGACAGCAACGGACAAAGGAAGCAGGCAAAGCTAGCTATCGCAGGCCGTTAAATTGAACTTAGAGTGAAAGGACGGCCTGCCATAGCCCATAGGTCCGCAGCCCACAGCCCACAGGATGTACGTGGTGAACTGGTGACTGCCTGACTGGTTAGTGGTGACGATGCAACTGTGCACGGTTAAGTTGCCAGTAGGAAACTAGGAAGTTGCTGTTGGTTTCATCGTTTGTCGTCAATTTCCAATAGGTTTATTTGTCACCTCTTTGTTAAACCTACCGATATTGTCCAATCTTTGCATGACGCCGGGCTGTAGCTCATTAGTCAGGGTCGTTCCTCCATACTCCCCTACTTTCCATCAGTGTGCCACAAGTTGCAACCCAGTCATACTCGTGCCAATGAATCTACTGAACTTTGGAGTGCCCAACACTGGCTCTGACGTAGTACGTGTACGTACCCCTCACTTGGATACGTTGTTATCCACCAAAATCTCAATCCATGTGGCAAATCAAAAGCTGCTGGTTTCACATGATCCACATCCGCTATCAGTGCCGCCTATATAGGCACCTACCATTTGGGTACTACAGTTGTATAATCCACCTAATCCGTGGAAATATTCGGACAGCAAGTACACGCCAGTAGGTGGCTACCCGATCGCCGTATAAAAACACCAAGCAAAGGCCCAAAGCTGGTGCCCGCGCCAGCAGCGCACCCACGCGAGCTGCTGCTTTTAGCTGCTGGGAGGCGTTAAGCTCAACAAAGCTATAGCAAGCAGATCTCACTCATCTGATCGAGCGAAAATATGTGGCCGCGCGCGTACGGACCGCGCAGAAAACCCCCAAAATATCGAGCTTTTGGGCCCGGCCTGTAGCGATTGCCAGCGGCGGGAGCGGCAGTGGAGTTGGCAGCGGGCGGCTCCACCTCGTCGTCGTCGCCGCTGCCGTGGAGTGGAGCATTGGAGACAGCCCTGTCGCTGTCGGCCACGGGCGACCCCACGTGCGGGGCTTTTCGGCCGCACCCGGCCCGGCCCCTGGCCGTTTATAAAGCCTTTATTATGTCTGGTTTAGTTCGTGAAAAGTTTTTTTTAAAAATGTTATAGTACCTATCGCATTGAATTTTACGATACGTGCATGGAGTATTAAATGTAGACGAAAAAAAAACTAATTGTACAGTTTGGTTGGAAATTGAGAGACGAACACTTTGAGCCTAATTAGTCTATGATTAAACACTAATTATTAAATAAAAACGAAAGTGTTATAATAACCAAATTTCCTAACTTTTCATCGACTAAACACGGGATAGGCGACGTCCAGCTACCCCTTGCCCCTGCTGTGCTCGCGTAGTTAATTGCTGGAACCGTGAAAAAGATTTGCTGGTCTACTCCCTCCGCCCGAATTAAGCCTGTTTAGTTCCGCCTTAAAATTTTACGCTATGTCGTATCGAATGTTTATACATGTATAAAGTATTAAATATAGACTAAAAATAACTGATTGCACATGTTGTGATTAATTTGTGAGATGAATCTTTTAAACTTAATTAGTCCATATTTTAACAATAAAGTGCTACAGTAACACGTGTGCTAATGATAGATTAATTAGGCTTAATAAATTCGTCTCGTGTTTTATCGACGGATTCTGTAATTTGTTTTTTTATTAGTACCCAAACCCCTCATGCGACATTCTTACATTCTTACGTAACATCATACGTGACACCCAAAACTTTACAGGCTGGATCTAAACAAGGCATAACTATCCTAAATCTCACCTCTCGAAGAAGTTAAGGTGCTGTTTGACTGCAGCTGATAATTTAGTCCCTCCTAAATGGTTTAGTCATATTTACTCACTCCAGAGTATTAGAGAGGACTAAAGCTCTCTTAGTCTATTTAGTCATAGTGTTTGAGTAAAAAGTGACTAAATATGATTAAATTGGACTAGATTTAGGAGCTTCTGGTTGAACCAAACACCTCCTAATTCCAGAGTTTGATCTGATATAAAAAAATATACTTTCACATTAACTGTAGAATATACTTTCTTAATAAAGTTAAATAAATAAAGATGCTACGAACATTTGACGTCTTTCATTCAATCTAGAAAACAGGGCCATTTTACAAAATGTTTTTCACGACTACACGAGAGCTGCAGCTTCTTGGAGTTGTTTTTCGAGAGAACTAGAGCCGGAGGTGCATCCTAGGAGCTAGAGCATGTTAAGGTCTTGTTTGATCACCGCCCAAAATTTAGCTAGCTGCCAGGATCTAAACAGGTGCAGCTAAAACTTAGCTAAACTTTAGCTAGAGATAGAAATGTACACACTTGCTGTTCCAACTCAGCTAAAACATAGTTAATGATGAACCTGTCCCTCTGTTTTTCTATGTTCACATTGTGCTCAACAAATGTAAGAACAATATGATAAATAAACATCAATTAGCTAGAGGATCAAAATAATCTCAGCTAAACGGTTAAAGTTTAGCTACGATACATCTAAACAAGACCAAAATGTGTCTACCATATTCTAGTTCCAGGAAACAAATGACGTGATTTCTATTCTGCCATACGCGACAATGGCTACCGACGTGGTGGACCGTGAAACTGTCAACGAGCAGGAGGCAATAGCGCAACCATGGCCTTTTCCCTGTAGTCCATCAGTTGTGTGACTGTCAATCTATCACAGGTTCACAGCATGGTACTTTGAGGATGTAGCATCATCGGATGCTTTTGGACTGCTAACCATTTTAAAGGCTATAAATACTGTCCAGGACACAGGACAGGGGCTCGTTAACCGGATTGGGCACCCATTATAGCAACGCTCTCATTTGTGCTGTTACTTTGGCTGATAAGTTGTACTTTATGCCTTAATCCTCGCACGCATGATTTATTATCCCGATATTGCTCCTAAGGTCATTCTCAGCGTCTGGAAGTTTTATCAGACTTTCATTTATATTTAATAAGTTGTTATATTGGCATTTTCGATGACGTGGCAACGTTTTAAAAAATAGAGAAGAAATGAGTTTCATGAGGATAAAATTCTATTAGCATGATTGCCAACTCTAGTCATGAAATTAAATATATATGAAAGCATAGAATAAAACTTTCTATTGAGCCACAGATATAGATGAAACACTCACTCTCAGGATATTTTGTATCTTCAAGAATCGGTGTTGGCTGAGCCATATAGGTACCATGTAATTTGTACCTTCAAGAAAGGGTGTTGGCTGAGCCACATACGTACCATATAATTTGCGCGATCTCCATCTTGGTAGACAACCTAGCCACATTTTGTGATTAAACTTGACTAAAAAATGTAGAGAAAACGGTCAACATTTATGACACCAAATACTAATCTATAATATTGTACCATTGCTTATCTAACATTTTTTTTGGCTATTTGCTATATCAATATTTTATATGTTTCTCAACCTCCTAATTGTTGCATTTTTGTATATGTTGGTAGTACTATGATTCATAAAAAAAAGCCCCTCGTATTACATTTTTCTTTTGCCTTAGAGGTGTAATCCTCATTCTCATGTGGCACTCTCATCAGCTCTTGCTGCCATCAACCGTCACCATTACAATCGTTGCGTGGTTCAAGTAACACCTACTAGTATTCTCTATTATGTGATTATTGCAGAACAGTTGTATGCTTTGTTGTCCAGCAATCACTCCTGTGCAAGCTTAATGAACCAAACAAATTGTAGCGCACGTCGGATGCTAAAATAGTACCACCTCTGTCCTAGATTACCGTTTATGTTTTTTTTTTAATACATAGCTTTTGTGTGGCTATCTAGATACATAATAAAAGTAAGTTATATATCTAGAAAATGTCGAAACGACCTATAAATTAGAAGTACTAAAATTCAAGAGCCTCAAATACTTGAGTGAATTTATATTTTCCCGTTTGATATTAGCATTATTAAACAGGCAACTGTTCATCCACGGACAAGCAAAACGGGAAATGACAGACAGGGGCATTAAGGTAAATCCGACAGTGCCATACTGCCATCCTCTCCCCCGGGCCCGGCGGCTGGTGCGGAGGCGCCCAAGCGAACCGCTATTGCGATGCGCCTGGTGGCCGTGCGCGCTAATTATAACCGCGTTCTGTTAAAGCGGCGTCCCGTTCCCCCAGCGTGCGTTTTGGAAGCCGACCACGCGAAGCATCCAGCGTTGCTCAACTCTGTTCGCCACTGCCCACTGCCAGTCTGCCTTGCCACCCTCCACCTCCATGCTCCACCACCACCTCGCCGCCTCGAGGCCAGAACCCTAGGCAGCTCCCAATGCCGCCCCACCGCCTCCTTCCCCTCCTCCTCCTACTCCTGCCTCTCGTCCTCGGCGTCTCCGGCGCCGCCGCTGCCGGGGGGAACGCCACGTCGGCGCCGCTCGCCTGCTCCGAGCTCTCGCGCGTCTGCACGGCCTTCCTCGCCTTCCCGGCCGCCGCCGGCGCGGGGCCGCCAATGCCACGCTGCTCGAGTCCATGTTCGACGCCGCGCCGGGGACCTCACAGCCGACGCCGCGGCCAGCCCGGGGTACGCCTTCTTGCGTAAGAACTGCTCATGCCTCCCGTCCCGCACCTACCTCGCCAACACCACCTACACCATCCCCTCCTCCGCGACGGCCTCCTCCCCCAATGCCACCGCCGCCGATGTCGCGGCCGCGGCGTACGCGGGCCTCGCCGTGCCGCCGCCTGGCGGGGCGGCGCAGCGACCGCCGCGACCGGGGGCGGTTGTGGCGCTCCACCTGCTCTGCGGCTGCTCATCCGGGCCCTGGAACCACCTTCTCAGCTACGTCGGCGTCGAGGGGGACACGGTGGAATCACTGTCGAGTAGGTTCGGGACGAGCATGGATGCCATCGAGGCTGCCAATGCCATGGCCGGCCCCGACCCCATCACAGCAGGGGGAAGGTGTACTACATCCCACTCAACTCAGGTCCGTCATACCAATGTTTGCGATCATTTTGGACAAGTCGATCAAATGTTTCTCTCTTTGTTGAATTCGCTGTGAAAAGATTGGTAGTTCCTTTCGTCTCAAAGTTTGTTGGGATGTTGCAATTGCAAGCATGGATCTCTCAATAATTGCTCGTTTATGAAGTACGGATCCTCTGGATTTATTGGTCCGGGCTTGTGAGGCGTACCACGGAATTCACGTTTTACATCTTGTGGCTGCTCTGGAAATTACCAATTGCCAGGACCATGCTGTGGACACGGTGAACTATCATATCAAAATTGTACGCTAAATGTGTTCTTTAGTGAAGTGGCAGGTACTCCTTGCCCAATGATCAGCTGCAACTCAGCTTGTTGAACATCATTGGGTCTAAACAAGTTCCTGAAAATTGCTACCACCACAGACTAGTATAACTAACTTCACTTTGAGGTTACATACTAAATGGAGTAAAATAGTCTCTTACTGGTCTGGTAGCAGCATCTCGTAGTGTGCTTTTATGTAGTTCTAGGTTGGCACAAGGAGGTACATGTGACATTGAGTGATTGCACTAACACATGCCCTTCACCTAATCTTCATTAAGAATTGAACCCAGTTACATGCATACTATGTAGTAGTTGAGATTTTTAATGGCAGTGACACATTAAGTTTCTCACTCTGCGCTGCTCTGTGCCCTGTTTCCCAGCATTTGATTGTTGAGCCTCCCAATAATATCCAATGCAAGCTTTCTTGGTCAGCTGAAGCCTCTGATCTGTTTTTCCTACTTCGTGGTGTTAGCTTTTCTTTACTACTATTATTATTCTTGCTCATGCAATTCTTTTTCTTCTTGCAATGTTTAAAAGGAAACCTTACTTTGTGCAATCCTTTTTTATATAATTTCTTGTAAATTATTTCCATCTAATGTTTGTAATAGACTTGTTTTTGGAAGAGTTCCTCAATGACTATCCCATCCTGTCCTGTACCAATTTGCAGTTCCTGGACAAGCGTATGTTACACTACCTGCTCCTCCTGCTCCTGCCCCAGCGCCAACAGATCACACATTGTCAGGTTGCTGTTCTTTATTTGCCCTTGTTTAGTTCTCACCCCAAAACTTTACACCCTGTCACATCGAATGTTTGGACACATGCATGGAGTATTAAATATAGACTAAAAAAATAACTAATTGTACAGATTGCGACTAATTTGCGAGACGAATCTTTTACGCCTAATTAGTCCATGATTTGACAACAAAGTGCTACAGTACACATGCGCTAATGACGGGTTGATTACCCTTAATAAATTCGTCTCGCGGTTTACTGATGGATTCTGTAATTTGTTTTTTTATTAGTATCCGAACACCCCATGCGACACAACCATATAACACCCGATGTGACACCCCAAAACTTTACACCCCGGAACTAAACAAGGCCTTTGTAACTCGTTTTGTAATGTTCTGAGTAGGTAGTCATTGTGAGTGATAATTTAATACTGACCGGAACATATTTTCAGGTAGTCATTACAATTTACAACTCATTTGTTGATGTTTTGGTTTACATAGCCATTCCATGATTTTGTGGTAATACAGTATGCTGTATTTTGTGGGTAACCTTTTGGCAGGCTGGATGTTGTTTGAGAATAATCAGTGACAGAGTTATTTACAATATGCATATTCCACTTTTTTTTTTGCTTATTTTATTTCGATTTTCTTTCAGTTAGTCACTCTTTTTATGTTCTTGATCCTATATTTCTCTTCCAAGTATCATCACTGAAAAATGTCAGTTTTGGTATCAAGGATTATATGCAATCAACAATATTCTTGTTATGATAGTCTAACAAAGTATCCTCTGGCACACAACTGCAGAGACACCAGATCACCATTTGACCAAATTTCCTTATGGATGGGTTATTGGTAGCATGGGAGTTGCACTTGCTTTAATTGCTATTGCTGTCCTTGCACTTGTCCTATGGAAATTCTTTGGATATAATCCCCAAGATCCTAATAACCAGGGAAAGAGCCCAGACCGACATAAGTTTCAACTCCTTAAGAGTGGTAGTTTCTGTTATGGTTCTGGAAGATACTTGTGTTGCCAATTTGGAAATGCAAAGCCAACAAGAGCAGATGGTGGTGATCATCATATCAATGTCCCCAAAGGTCAGTTTACTGTTTGTTAACCATTCCCATAAAAAGGAGCACAAGTAACTGCTCTCAAGCCTACGCTTGTTCTGGAGGTGGACCAAGTAGTTTCTTGAAATAGGATACAGTGGAAATTTCAATTGAGATACAGGGCAACAAATTCACAATTAATATTAAGTTAATACCAGCACAAATTAACTACTGTTATTTTTATTTTGCTTCTTCCATTTATAACTGGTTCAAGCCTCCAAAACAGGCATGGCAGCAGACGTATTTGATAGGGAGAAGCCTATTGTGTTTACATACGAAGAAATACTCACATCAACCGACTCATTTTCTGATGCAAATCTTCTTGGACATGGTACATATGGTTCTGTCTATTACGGTGTTCTCCGAGACCAGGTCCAACATCGAAGCTTCTCACTTGTATGCATAATATTCCTTGTCATTGCCTTCTCAATAGTAAAAAATGTTAGTCTACAGGAGGTTGCGATAAAGAGAATGATGGCCACTAAAACAAAAGAATTCATAGTGGAGATGAAAGTTCTTTGTAAGGTTCATCATGCTAGTCTGGTACGGAATTTTATTGCTTATCACAAAATCCTAGTATAAATTCATTTATTGCTGTTCCATGTTTACTGAACTTTCATTGTGTGACCCATGTTTGTCAAAGGTAGAATTGATTGGCTATGCAGCAAGTAAGGATGAGCTTTTCCTGGTTTATGAGTACTCTCAAAATGGTTCGCTCAAAAATCATCTACATGATCCTGAAAGCAAGGGTATACCCTCATCTGACACTTGATTTCTGAAAGATTTTCTTGCTCATAGATACGACTTTCAGCTTTATAAAGTAGTAACATGTTCATAAGCTGTTCATTTGTTAGGACTGTGGAAGCCCCCCGTGTCAAACAATTTACAATAACCACTTACCAGTGTTTCAATCAAAAGTCTTCTGGCTCTAGGCGAGCATTAGACTTCCACCTAGCACCTAGCCCACCTAGGGAGTGAAATGTTCTCCAGGAGGCAAGGAGGGGACTGGGGAGCATGCTTTTTGTGAATATTTACATCTTGCATTAAATGTTAAAAGAAAAAAGTGGGCCACATAGAGAGACATTGTCTTAAGAATGGGACTACTGTTTACTCCCTCCATCCCAAAAAGAGTGTCATTCTAGCTATGAATGATTCATAGCTAGAATGACACTCTTTTTGCTTCGGAGGGTGTATGTGCTATGCTATGGGCAGCCTTGGACCACCAAGTACTGCCTTAGGGATCAGCTACCACCAAGTACTGCCTAGGGATCAGCTACCACCAAGTACTGGCTAGGGATCACCTAAGTACATGTAATTCTATTTGTCCTCGGTAGTTCTGGACTCATATTGTATGCCTCACTTGGTACTATGCTACCATTTGTTTGAACACCTAATTATGCTATCTCCACAGGATTTACCATTGTTGATTGATTTTTTTTTATTTCTTCCAGGATGTTCATCACTTTCATGGATCTTTAGGGTCCAAATTGCACTTGATGCTGCTAGAGGACTAGAATACATTCATGAGCACACCAAAGATCATTATGTTCATAGAGACATTAAATCAAGTAATATCTTGCTTGCTGGTTCCTTCAGAGCGAAGGTTAGGTGATTTAAATTATTTGGCTCCCTTTTTCTTGCATCAACTAAACAACTAATACCTTGTGTATGCATCTTCTGCCTTTACAGATTTCAGATTTTGGCCTTGCAAAACTTGTAGTGAAATCCAGTGATGCAGAGGCTTCTGTCACTAAGGTTGTTGGAACTTTTGGTTATCTAGCTCCTGAGTAAGTGCATATTTGCTGTCATTGTTTTAATTAAAAGCAAGTTTTGTCTCTAACTATGGCATTGTAACAATCTTTCATTGATCGTTTAGATACCTGCGGGATGGCCTGGCAACTACAAAGAGTGATGTCTATGCTTTTGGTGTGGTACTTTTTGAGCTAATATCTGGAAAGGAGGCGATTACAAGAGCTGAAGGAATGGGTGCAAGCTCAAACTCTGAGAGACGCTCACTGGCATCAGTTGTAAGTTTTCAGTCCAGTGTTAGTTGACTTTCTAATGTTGTACCTTAGGCTTTACCATTATCTTACCATTGAAGTAGCATTAGAACTTCTGTTGAACTTTGTTCAAGCTTCTAATTTATTTGTTTTTATTGACTCCAAAAGTCCTAAGAAACTTTGGTTTTGTACTCCACAGATGTTAACTGCTCTAAGGAAATGTCCTAATTCAACGTATATGGGGAACCTGAAAGACTGTATTGACCATAATCTGAGGGATCTGTATCCTCATGACTGTGCGTACAAGGTATGAATTTTAAACTCATGTACTTCTTGCAGTTAGAACTAAGATTTTCCAGTTATCTTGCCAGCCCATTTTGTGGCAGCTTTGCTCGTTGTTCTGAACCCCCTAAAATGCTTTTCCTAAGATGGCCATGCTAGCGAAACAGTGCGTGGACGAAGACCCTGTTCTACGGCCGGACATGAAGCAGGTGGTGATCACGCTCTCTCAAATACTGCTGTCTTCTATCGAGTGGGAGGCGACACAGGCTGGGAACAGCCAAGTGTTCAGTGGTCTTGTGGCGGGGAGGTAATCTGGTCACACTGTCCTGTGATGCTGCTGTACATGCTCTTCGGTGATCTAGTCACCTGATCCACCGGGGGCATATATTCGCCTATAGCCCTCCTCTCTATATCTTACTGGTCCTTTGTCCAGTTGAGCGATTTTTAGGTTTCTTTTGAGTTCTGAGAGAATACCTACCAGAGTGCAAAATTTCTTGGTGGGTGGTACAGTATGTAGTTACGTATGTATACAAGAATCTACCTTGCAATGCAGTGTCTCCATGAGTTGTGTTTGTAGCTACGTATGTATACAAAAATTTCGTTTGTTCCGCTGCTGCTATGCCCTGACTTGTGTTTGTAGCCCAAGTTCAGCAGCAGCGACTGCAACGTGTACTTGTGTATTGTGGGTTCTTGGACCCTCTTATCACGTTGGTAAGTTGCCAAAGCAGAAATATTCTAAGAGCAGTTCTAACCAAGAAACTATAGAGTAGTTTTTATACTTCGATGTTATATAAATACTATACATAGAAACTATATTCATAATAGATAATTTTACAAAATATTTGCTTAGTCAATCCATTTTCTTTTCTCTCCTACTCCCTCCATTCTAAATTATAAGTCGCTCTGACTTTTTTGGTATATTCATTTTGTTATGTATCTGAATAGATGTACCAAAAAAGTCAAAGCGATTTTAATTTGAAACGGAGGGAGTATTATCTACCTATCACATATTTTTATATCTTAATTCTCATTTAGACATTTTTTATCAAAAACATTTCCTTCTTCTCTTTCTTAATTTCAATATTGTATCACCAATTTTACGTACTCTTTTTTTGAGCAGATCCAATTTTAGGTGGTGTTTGGATCCAGTGACTAAAATTTAGGAGGTGTGTCGGGAGGATGTTGCATGGGGTGTTCGGATACTAATAAAAAAACAAATTACATAATCCATCGGTACTCCACGAGACGAATTTTTTAAGCCTAATTAATCCGTCATTAGCACATATTTACTGTAGCACTACATTGTCAAATCATAGACTAATTAGGCTTAAAAGATTCGTCTCGTAAAATAGTCGCAAACTATGCAATTAGTTTCATAATTAATCTATATTTAATACTCCATACATGCTTCTAAATATTCGATGGGACAATCACTAAAATTTAGGAGGGGGCAACCAAGTACCACCTTACTTGACATAGTACTAACTAAAAATCAATCCTGGGACCTGCAACTTAACGGGCCCTGCACCTGCAGCTTGGGCTCTGTGAAGTCCAAAAAAGATGTGCGCACACACGGCCCAAAAAAAACATGGTGTTCAGGTTCCAACTGTGCACCGGTAGGCCACTGCTCGTTAGGACTTGGGAGGAAAATTTGGAATCGCGTTCTAAAATGAAATACAAATTTCTCTCAAATCGTTGATCATTTCTTAATATTTTTCACACCATTGTGTTCCTCACAGTAAAAAACTTGACAATATAAGATCCATGTTTCAAATACTATCTCGGACACAAAATAAATTGATTCCTAGAATCGATTAAAGTTATAAACTATTTTAAGTTTGACCAACTCTATATAAAAGAGTAACATCATCTATCATACCTAATAAGTATATTGTGAAAGTAAATTTCATGATGCATCTAGTAGTACTAATTTGCTTTCTAGTTTTTTTTTTGCATAAATTTGGTTAAACTTAAAATAACTGGACTTACGACAACTCTTAAAATTGATTTATTTTGGATCAGATGGAGTTTTTTTTATCTGAATAGCACAGCAGCCAAAATTACTACGTAGTTTCCTCCCTTTTTTCCTGTGGCCTCGGGAGAATAGCCTTACAAAACATTTGTCCATTAAGACCCGTTCGCTTCGTTGAAAAAACAAGCCGAAACACTGTTTCGACTGATTTGTTGTAAGAGAAAAATACTGTTCTGGCTGAAAAAACAAGCTGAAAAGTACGGATTATAAGAGAAGCGAATAGGGCCTAAGCCATATCATGGTATAATTATCGCAAATTTGCAGTATCTCCATTCTCTAACACTATTGAAACAAGAGAAATAGTTCTATCCTGCTATTTAATAGGGTTATGGATGGTCAATTAAGGTCTTGTTTGGTCTTAGGAATCAAGAGAAATTGAAAATTAATTTAGTGACTTTGCTCATGGTCTGATTCCTTCCTCGTCGGCACCCCGCATTTGATTTGATTCCTTCCTCATGGTGGCGCTTTGTTCACCATTTCGGTGAATAGAGGAACAAGCTGCACTACAACCTAAATTAAACAGAGGCCTGAACAGGTCTGATGAAAAGTCCGAGTACATAGGCTGAGCCTCGATATCTTGTGCACCAAATTTCACGGTGCAGATGTTTGACATTGGGGTTAGGAATCAGTATTTGGCACTGTAACATTTTCGTTTGTATTTGACAATTATTGTCCAATCATGACCTAACTAGGCTCAAAAAATTCGTCTCTTAATTTACAATCAAACTGTGTAATTAGTTATTTTTTTATCTACATTTAATACTCTATGTATATGTCTAAAGATTTGATGTGATAAAGAGAGAGTGAAAAAACTTATAATCTAAGTAAGGTCCTGAGACAAAGAAATATCGGCAGCAAGGTGGAGCAACCGTTGGAGACAAAAATATAGAGGTAGGAAAGCCGCTGTGTCTGGTCATTTGTCAACATCAAGAAAACACACTGCTGTCAACTGTCAGCTCCGTTGGGCTTACCCAGAAACCGATTTATTCGACTTTATTTTTCAATCACAATAATATTTTTCTCTCATGACAATTCAGTCAGAACAATATTTTTCACTTAATTTCAGTAAGTTTTAATAAGCCGAACGGGCCTAGGCTGATGAAAAAAAAAGCTATTATTAGTTTATTGTCGTTCTAAATTATTGGCGCAGAAGATTCATATGGCCCGTTTGGTGCTGCTCGTCACGGCTCCGGCTCCGGCTCCACCTCCACCTCCCAAGACCGGTAGCGCACTGTGCATCCCTGTAGCTTTGGCACAAATGGCTCCGGCTCCACTTGCGTCTCTTGATGAGCCACAGGAGCTGCCCGTTCGTAGCTTCGCCGGGCCCTGCCACAGTACCTCCATAGTGTGAGAGCCAGGCTCTGCCACAGTACATCCACAGTGCGAGAGCCGAAGCCGGGCAGAGGCGGGCCAAACGGGCCCATACTCCTACTCCCAGCATTTCTACCGTGGTCACATCAGGGTACTAAATAGTATCAGTAGAGTTAGTGGCCTACAGATAGCAACTTAGCGGCTACTTTATAACGTAGCAGGCCACTATAACGCTTGCGAGCCTGCATAGCAGGCCAAGTCAACTCTATAACTAATAAAATCCTAGTTGATTCTAAATCTCAATATTTTTACACATGTATCTAGTACTCATAAAAGCACAATATTTATCATCAAAATAGAGTGAAATAATAATTTTTTTAGCTATGCGATTGAATTTTCTATAGGTATTTTTAAAAATCACTGTGCTTTGGTGGTGGTGGTGAAGGGGAGGGAGGGGGACACGCCCTTGCTGGCCCCCCTCCTCCGGTTCCGCCATGTAACGTCCCTAGTGTTACAAGCTTGCTTAGCACCAAAATTTAGGACCAAGAATGATTAACTTAAACAAGTTTTCGGGTTTTAAAAATTTATAACGCACGTGAGGCGAAAAACAATTTCTATGAATAAGGATCAAACATAACTTGTATTTAGTACTTAAATAAAAATTGAAGTACAAGTTTAGTAGATGGAAGGCAACTTTAACTTTTAGAAAATAGATGTTGTTAACTAGTGTTTTGGGAGCTCAAAAATCAAATTTAACGTTAAGATAAGCTCTTTACGTTAAGTCAGCAAACACTTGAACTGTTGTTAAAATACTATTTTTGGCAAATTATATTGAGCAAAATAGTTAAATGGTGCTTAAATATTTTGCTCCTACGGATTAGTATAAGGTATGGACTATTGCATGAAGTATTTGTTGGTTGAAGTTAACAAGGTTTAGATCTATTAAAAATTATGACAAAAGATTTAATGGTTACTTAGCCTCAATTGAAATCATTAACTTTCCTAAGTATAGAAAAGTAGTAAGACAATGCTATTTTGACATTTAATTTCTAACAAAAATATTTAAACACTAGCTGCATGTTTTGATATTGTTGATTGCATCAAAGTGAGTACATGAGCATGGTGTAGGTCGAAGTTGTGTTGGAGATCACGTTGCTCTCGTAAAAATTGCCCAAACATCGTTGGAACGCGCTGTAAACCATGTTGATTGGCGCTCTGTTCGTGAACCGGCACTCTAGTGACGAACCCAAGTTGGCATCCTTGTATCTCCCTCTCTAGTCGCTCTCGGGTCATGACAATTGCTCCGCTGCTAGCTAGTAGTGTCGACTTTAGGTTAGTAGAATTGGTTGAACTTCGGTTGAGAGGATCGGCATCCTTTGCTTCACTTTAAAATTCGTGCAAGTCATATGTCTGACCCGTGCGCATGGTCACCTCGCGCAGCCGCTCGGCGTCGCACGGCTGGCCGCGTTCTGCGTGCCGCGGTGCCGAGCCTGGCCGGCCTGTCTTGCCGTGGGTGGCCGTGACCGGCCCCAGCGGACCGCTGTCGTCGCCTTACAACTGCTGGCCGTCGTGCTGCTGCGCGCACCGTTGCGCCGTGCTAGAGGGCTGCCACTACGCGGTCGCGTGGCGAGGCATCGTTGCCATATGGTTGCTGTGTGCCCCGCTGTCGCTGCATGCGTGCGCCACCGTGTTCGCTGAGCCACGCGCGGGGTTGAGCCATGGTCGTGGCCATTGTCGTCGTGTCGACATGGTAGTCGCCCTACCCTGCGTCTCACCTACTGCGAGCCCGTGCCGCCGCTCGCCGCATCTAGGTCAGCCAACCCCAGCTTCAGGGTGATGGTGACACCTCCCTAATTCACCCTGTTCCGCTAGCCGACGCTGGTGAGCCGCTCGGGCCCGGCTACCGCATTCAAGTGCCCCGCGTGTCGGCACACCTCTTGGCTCCGTCTAGCACTACACAACATGCCT